TTCCTTACTGGTTTCCCTTTCTTCACACTTCAGTTATGTTTTAAGACTCAATTCTGTTAAAAGTTTTCAGTGGCCATCCAGTGTTTGTTCTACAGGGAATAGAGGGAAACTACAGGAGTCATGTGTACCAAATGAAAGTCTTGATGTTTTCATTCTCTTGTGGCCCACCTTTACCTATTTTGCCCACTTCCAGCCACCCCTCTACCTCGCATTTTACATTCTAGTGATACTGATCTACTTACTGTCCAAACATACAGCATGATTTCTTCAGCCTCTGTGCGTTTTGCTCTGCTGGAAATTATCCTTCAAATCTTAACATTTTCTCTGTGAGACCTTCTTTTTTGTTTTTTTTAAACCACGAATTCCATTTACAACCCATATATATATATAGTTCTGGGATACATGTGCAGATCATGCAGGATTGTTGCATAGGCACACACATGCCGTGGTGGTTTGCTGTCTTCATTCCCCCATCACCTACATCAGGCATTTCTCCCATGTTATCTCTCCCCAACCTCCCTGCCCCCCGGTGTTACTCCCCTAGCCCCCCATCCCCCAAAAGACCCCAGTGTGTGATATTTCCCTGCCTGTGCCCATGTGTTCTCATTGTCACCCGCCTATGAGCAAGAACATGTGGTGTTTGGTTTTCTGTTTTTACATCAGTTTGCTGAGAATGATGGTTTCCAGATTCATCCATGTTCCTACAAAGGACAGGAACTCATCGTTTTTTTATGGCTGCATAGTATTCCGTGGTGAACATATGCCACATTTTCCCTGTCCAGTCTGTCATCGATGGGCATTTGGGTTGGTTCCAGGTCTTTGCTATTGTAAACAGTGCCGCAATGAACATACGTGTGCATATGTCTTTATAATAGAACGATATATAATCCTTTGGTTATATACCCAGTAATGGGATTGCTGGGTCAAATGGAATTTCTATTTCTAGGTCCTTGAGGAATTGCCACACTGTCTTCCACAATGGTTGAACTAATTTACACTCCCACCAACAGTGTAAAAGTGTTCCAATTTCTCCAAATTCTCTTGAGCATCTGTGAGACCTTCTTTACTTCTCTTTGGCTGAATTAGGAGTTACTGCCTCTCTAAATTTTTCAATTTCCGTATACTTCACTTGAGCAATTTATGTATAGTTGACTCTAATAATATGGGTTTGTATTATGTGGGTTCAGTTGTATGTGTATTTTTTTCAAGAAATATATTGGAAATTTTTTTGAGATTTGTGACAATTTGAAAAAACTTGCAGATAAAACATGTAGCCTAGAAATATGAAAAAATTAAGAAAGAGGTATGTCATTAATGAATAAAATATATATAGATAACAGTCCATTTTATCATCTGCTAACATAAAATATGTACCAATCTATTATAAAAAAGTTAAAATGTATCAAAACCTGTGTACACAGTCACTTACAGACTGTACATGGAGTCATTCTCAGGAGGAACGCAAGAAAACATAAAGATGCAGTATTAAATTATAACAGCATAAAGTTAACTTTAGTGCATACTGTACTACTATCATAGTTTCAGAGCCACCTCCTATTGCTTTTGTGATGAGTTCAAGTGTTTCAGGTATCTGCTTAAAACATCATGTGACACTGGTCATCTCTGCGTAAGCAGTTTGTCTCCCAAGTAAATTGCATATCACAGGAAAAAGTGATCTCTTGGTGGTTCTCGTGTAGGTTTCATCATGTTTAGTGCAATACTGTAAACCTTGAGTACCACCATGAGGTCCACGCACAGTGCCACTAGAGATGCTGGAAGTGCTCCCAGAAGCCAAGTCATGACATTGTACGAAAAAATTGTATTGCTTGATGTGTACCATAGATTGAAGCCTGCAGCTGTGGTTGCCCCATCTCAAGATAAATTAATCCAGTATAAGGACCATTGTACAAAAAGAAAAGGAAATTTATAAAGCCATCACTGCAGCTGTGCCAGCATGTACAAAAACTTAGTACTTTTTGCACAATATCTTTTTATCTGTCATGGAAAATGCAGGTTTTATGTGGGTACAGGATTTCTATAAGAAAAGCATACCTGTAGACTCTAATATAATTTGAGAAAATAAAAAGTCATCTTATGACAACTTAAAAGGAAAATGAAGGATCTAAAGCTGGAGAATTTAATGCCAGCAAAGGGTGGTTTGGTAATTTTAGAAAGAGATTTGGCTTTAAAAATGTCAAGATAACAAGAGAAGCAGCTTCTATCGACCAAGAGGCAGTAGACAAGTTCCAAGATGCCATTAAGAAAATTATTTAGGAGAGGCTGGGTGTGGTGGTTCTCACTTGTAATCCCAGGACTTTGGGAGGCTGAGATAGGTGGATCACCTGAGGTCAGGAGTTCAAGACCAGCCTAACCAACATGGAGAAACCCCATCCCTACTGAAAATACAAAATTAGTTGGGCATGGTGTTGCGTGCCGGTAATTCTGGCTACTCTGGAGGCTGAGGCATGAGAATAGCTTGAACCTGGGAGGCAGAGGTTACAGTGAGCCAAGATCGCGCTGATGCATTCCAGCTTGGGTGACAGAGTGAGACTCCATCTCAAAAAAAGCAAAAAGAGGAGGGGAGAAAATTATTTAGAAGAAAGGATATCTGCCTGAATAGGTTTTTAATGTAGATGTAAGTTCTCTCTTTTCGGGGGGAAGAAGTGCCACAAAGGACATTTATTATTAAGGAAGAGAAGTGAGCACCAGGGTTTGATGCAGAAGGGGATATGCTAACTACTGTTTTGTGCAAATGTAATCAGGACTGCCCTTATCTATAAAGCTGCCAACTCACGAGACTGGCAGGAAATGACAAACACCAACTAGTAGTCTTTTGGTTGTACAACAAGAAGGCCTGGACAATGAGAACCCTTTTTCTAGACGGTTCCATGGGTACTTTGTCCCTGAAGTTAGGAAGTACCTTGCCAGTAAGACACTGCACAATGGCTCTGGCCATCCAGAACCCCATGAGTTCAGCACCGAAGGCATCAATGTGGTCTCCTTGCCTGCAAACGCAATGTCTCTGATTCAGCCTCGAGATGCATGCAGTCATAAGGACCTTTAAGGCTCATTACACGAGTACTCTATGAAAAAGATTTTCAGCGCACTGGAAGAGAACCCCAATAGCGAGAACATCATGAAAGTCTGAGAGGATTGCACCATTGAAAATGCCATCATTGTTATAGAAAAAGCCATGAAAGTCATCAAACCCATAACAAGAATTCCTACTGGAGAAGACTTTGTCCAGATGTTGTGCATGACCTTACGAGATTTACAACAGTCAGTCAAGGAAATCATGAAAAATACTGTGGATGTGGTGGAAAAGGTTGGGAGTGAAAGGTTTTAAGATACGAATCTTGGAGAAATTCAAGAACTAATAGACACCACACAAAGGAAGTAACAGAAGATGACTTGATGGAGATGAGTGCTTCTGAACCAGTGCCAGAAAATGAGGAAGCACAGAAGCAGTGTCAGAAAACAGTTTGACATGAGATAATCTGACAGAGGGTTCTGATTATTCAAGACTGCTTTTGACTTCTTTTATGACATGGACCCTTCTATATATAGGCATTGAAACTAAAGCAAATGGAAGAAGGATTGATACTGTATAGAAACATTTTTAGAGACAAGAAAGAGCATAAAAAAAGTAAGAGAGAAATTACCACTTGTTTCCATAAAGCTGACCAAGTTTGCCTCCCCTGCCTTCCCTCTCAACTTGTCCATCTCTTCTGCCTCTGCCATCCCTGGGAAGACAAGACAGCCCCTCCCCTTCCTCCCCAACTCAGCCTACTTAGTGTGAAGATGGTAAGGTGAAGACCTTTATGATGATCCACTTCCACTTGATGAGTAGAAAATACAATTTTCTTTTTCTTATGATTTTCCTAATAACATTATTTTTCTTTAGATTACTTTATTGTAATAATACAGTATATAATACAGCATACAAAATATGTGTTTGTTAATTGAGTATATTATTGGTAAGTCTTCTACTCAACAGTAGGCTATTAGTAATTAAGTTTTGGAGGAGTTAAAAGTTATACATGGGGCCGGGCATGGTGGCTCATGCCTGTAACCCCAGCACTTTGGGAGTCTGAGGTGGGCAGATCACTTGAGCTCAGGAGTTCCAGGCCAGCCTAGACAACACAGTGAAACCCCATCTTACTAAAAATACAAAAATTACCCAGGCGTGATAGCACATGTCTAAAACCCAGCTACTCAGGTGGCCGAGACACAAAAATAGCTTGAACCCAGGAGGCAGAGGTCACAGTGAGCCAAGAGATGCAGTGAGTCTCAGTCTGTCGCCATTGCACTCACTCCAGCCTTGGCGACAGAGCAAGACTCTGTCTAAAACAAAAAGAAAAGTTATACATGGATTTCCAACTTACATGGGTGAATGCCTCTAACCTCCATGTTATTCAAGGGTTAACTGTAATTGAAACTCTTCATTTTCCTATTCCTTTCTAGAATATTTTATAAGTTTCTTGTGGTTCAAACCACCTTCATCTTAGATAAACAATAAATATTTGTTGAATGAAAGAATAACTGGATAACAACAGAGGCTTGTAACAGTTAGTCTGTCATCATGTGATTTAAAACTTTACTTTTGATTTTTCATCCAGCACATATTTATTGTATGCCAAATATGCAACAGCCACAGTGGAGGATTCTAACAAGATTTGATCTTTGCCCTAATAGACCTTATGGGTTACAACTGTTTTTTCCCAGAGTCACACTTTTAGGAATAAGACCTGAAGTGTGCAATTTTGAAAGAAAAGGAAAATATGTTAGTAGTCACCGTTTTATGACTCGACAGTTCTTTGTAGGCATTCACCCAATACAAAATTCTGGAGAGGACTAGGGAAAATATTTTCTAAGATGACATATTTCTCCCAATTGGGTAAAAAGAAAAAAATTGAGTTTAATATTAATAATGAAGGTTTACTTTACAAAACACAGGAGATGGAGAAAAATGTACTTTCATTTATTTGTTTTTTCTATAGGAGAAACTAAAACTTACCTATGAAGAAAAGTATGAAACTCTGGAATCCCAGTTGAAGTTTTTGAGGTAAAGTGAAATCGTCCATTTATAGTCACACCAAAAGCATAATGACCTTAAAATATATTTCAGTGTTTGCTGAACTACTTTTAGTCATTATCAGACTTATTTGATGACATGTTATGTAAAATATAAAAAATTTCCTCAGATTATTAAAGGATAAAAGGGCCTAAAATTTGAGTTCTTTTCCAAATCGCAGTCCTATTTCTTCATCAGTTATAAAATATTTGTGTTTTCTCATAGAAATAAGAATCACTAACTGCTCTTATAGAAATTATGATACTAAAGCAAAATAACTATGAAATAAAGCACTGCAGTTTTCAGATTATAAGTATTTTTTTTTTAGTCTGAGTCTTGCTCTGTCACTAGGCTGGAGTGCAGTGGTGCAAACTTGGCTTACTGCAACCTCCACCTCCTGGGTTAAAGTGATTCCCCTGCCTCAGCCTCCTAAATAGCTGGGACTACAGGTGCGTGCCACAATGCCCAGCTAATTTTTTGTATTTTAGTAGAGACAGGGTGTCACCACGTTGGCCAGGATGGTCTCGATCTTTTGACTTCATAATCTGCCTGCCTTGGCCTCCCAAAGTGCTGGGATTACAGGCATGAGCCACTGCACCCAGCCTCATCTAATTTTAAAATTACAACAATAATATAATAGTTTGAGTATTTGTATGAATTTGAGTATATATGATGAATCTTCATGTAGTTTTTATAGAATCTATTGATTAGAGATCCCAGTAAGACCTATATAGTACAGATTAATCATTAGTGATTTATGCATAATGAGTAGAAAAAGACAGCAGGAATTAATATTTTTGTTGGAGGCTAAGGCAGAATTGCCTGAACCCAGGAGAGGGAGGTTGCAGTGAGCCAAGATCACTCCACTGCACTCCAGGCTGGATGACAGAGGGAAACTCCATCTCAATAATATTAATAGTAATAATAATAATAATAAAAGCCAGAGCTCATAGCTTTCACTGTATATGCTGATTTATTTTTTTAATATTTTTCTGTTTTTCATAGATGACCCTGATTAGTTTTAGGATTTCTCTAGAGATTTTTACTTTTTCATAAAGAAATGTTACATTTTAAAACTCTAATTTTTGCTTTCATGCTTTTTGTCCTACTTTATTTTTTTTATGACTTGATTCTTCAGAAATACACTTCACAGTAGTGTATTTCTAGATCACTGTACTTACGGGAATGGGACTTATTTTTGTCTCATTCAGAGCCCAGATATTTCATCTTTAATTATATTAAATACCAACTTGCAATGAAGTAGACTCTGTTCTTTTTATCCGTTTCTTCATTTTCTTTTACTATAATTTAAGATTATTTAAAGAGGCATTTCTTAAAGAAATACAGTCAGTCTTCTTTTTAACTTTCTCTTTTGCCATTTCTAGCAACCAAATCTACTTGAGTGTTTTGAGTTTGGAGCTGACCGAAATTAGTAATGGGGACCCTTTGACTTCAGAATGTGCATTCCAAGTTCTTTCTATAAAGGTTTTGAAAGTCAGACATTCTCTACATGATACTGAAAAAGAAAACTTCTCAAGTTTGTTATTATTTTGGGGATAGGGTAGAAGCAGCTCCTTGTTTCCCCCTCAACTTTGGAATGCCATTAAATTAGCTTTTTTTTTTAATGCTTAGATTGCCTGTGGGTCTTTTCTGCCTTTCCTGGGTTGCTTGAAAGCCCCCAAAATCTCAACAGTTGTCTGACAGCCAGGCTGTTGGCTTCTCATGTGTGACAGGGAGCCAGTTAAGATGGCCATAGCCCCTGAGCACAGAGATGCTGACAACGACAACAGGGAGTGGGCTGAGATGGAGATCAAGTACCTGCCTTCAGTAGTCTCCTGTTTCCGCTAAAAAGTTATTTTTTTAAAAAAATATATAGGCTGGGTGCAGTGGCTCACACCTGTAATCATAGCACTTGGGGAGGCCAAGGCAGGCAGATCATGAGGTCAAGAGATCGAGACCATACTTGTCAACGTGGTGAACCCCGTCTCTACTAAAAATACAAAAACTAGCTGGACATGGTGGTGCACGCCTGTAGTCCCAGCCACTTGGGAGGCTGAGGCAGGAGAATCACTTGAACCAGAGGCAGAGGTTGCAGTGAGCTGAGATGACACCACTGCACTGCATCCTGGGTGACAGCAAGACTCTGTCTCAAAAAAAAAAAAAAAAATATATATATATATATATATATATATATATGGAGAGAGAGAGAGAGAGAGAGAGAACACAAAAGAGACATCTAGGCAAGGAAGCTCAGTTGCCAAGCTATCTTTACCACAGCTTCACTGGGATAAGGTAGGAAATACAACCCATGTATCAGTTATTTAATCCTTAGGAAGTCACCTTGGAGAAAAACTTCATCTTGACGTGAGCTGATACAGTAAAAATGAACAAGCATCACACCCGCACTCACACTCACCCCTCCCCACACCCACCATTCCACAGCCCTTTCTTTGGCAGCCCGCATGTTTCCAGCTAGTAGCTACTACCTGTGAAGTCTTATGGCTGGCAGGTTCTATGTAACTTCCTTCTGTAGCTCACTTTGTTTTGAAACAGCTCTTTGTAGAATTTTGTTATTACATAATTTGTAATGTTTTCTTTCTGAAGAAAAATGGGCAGTAATAAGCTAGTGATGGATAAAAATTCATGGTGGTGGTGGTGGTGGTGGTGGTGGCGGTGGTGGTGGTGTTGAGACAGAGTCTTGCTCTATCACCCAGGCTGGAGTGCAGTGGGGCAATCTCAGCTCACTGTAACCTCTGCCTCCCGGGTTCATGCAATTCTCTGCCTCACCCTCCTGAGTAGCTGAGATTACAGGCATCCCCCACCATGCCCACCTAATTTTTTTGTGTTTTTAGTAGAGACGGAGTTTCGCCATCTTGACCAGGTTGGTCTTGAACTTCTGATATTGTGTTCTACCCGCCCTGGCCTCCCAAAGTGCTGGAATTACAGGCGTGAGCCACCACACCCAGCAGAAAATCCATGTTTTTTTATGTGAACTTTTAAGGTACTCTAAAAACTTTAAGAGGTTAATACTTGAAATAGGGAATTTTCCTCACCCCAAGTATGTTGTGCTGTTATATTAGCCCACCCCTTTATTAAGAAAAACTGTTGGGATTTAGGTTTGGAGTTTTATTTTTGTTTTGTGGTTAATATAACATTAATGGAGATGGGACCCTGTGACAAGAGAGCCAGTATCAGGCAGACTCTAATCTATATCAAAATCGTACAAGAACCTGAGCTAGTTATTCAATATATTCAAGTCTCATCATATTCAACGTGTCAATTAGGATCACCCCACCAAATTTCAGGATTGTGGTAGGAATAAGACACTGTGTGTAAACGACAGCAGAAGGTGAACGCCCATAAATGACAGTAGTAGTTAACATTGTGATAATTCATTTTAAAATCATGTCATTTTACCTGCTCATTTTCTGGAATTCCCCCCCCCCTCTTTTTAGGAAAGACTTAGCTGAATATCAGAAAACTTGTGAAGATCTTAAAGAGCAACTAAAGCATAAAGAGTTTCTTCTGGCTGCTAATACTTCTAACCGTGTTGGGGGTCTTTGTTTGAAATGTGCTCAGCATGAAGCTGTTCTTTCCCAAACCCATAGTAATGTTCACATGCAGACCATTGAAAGACTGATTAAGTAAGTATGCTTCTAAGCACAGAGTCTTTGGCCATATGGAAAATTATGTCTTTAAAGGGGCATTGTGTTCTTTTCACCTCATGCTAAGTCACATGTGATTATTGCTTATCTTCAAATAGAATGGATTTTAAAAGGTTCCTTCTTTGGAACTCCCTTGAAGACAAATGGGTAGGTTCTGCCAACTATGGGAAACCATGTCACTTTGAAGAAATAATAGTACCTCTTGGGTTCAGTCCATCTTCAAGTGAGATAATTGAACTAGACTGTCTTTACAATTCTGTCCAGTTCTGTAACTCTATAATTATAAGTCAATACTATTCTTAACAAAAGTAGGTGTAATAGAAATTCTTTGGTTTTGCCATATCTTGGATTTTTCTGCTGTACTTCAGGTAGAATGAGTTATTACCATGTCTTCATCATGTGTCTGTTGTAAGGAATATTATAAGGACCCAGTATTGCTATTTGAGGGTTAACTAAGAACACATTACAGATGAGCTTTTGTGTTGTCAGCATTTCCATCTAGGCTGAAGTGAAGCAATTCTCTGTGTACATCTATTTTGTTCTGTTTTCACTATTCCAGAGGAAGCCTTTTCCTGTGAAAATTTTATTCAGTGGAAATTGAGAATTATTATGTAACGTAGAATCCTGTGGTAGTTTATAGTGTACGTCCTTCCACGCCCCCTACTTTTCCCTGTGCTCACCTCTCTCTGTCTGCTCTGCTAACTTAAATAACCCCAAATCACTTCCTTTTAGAAGTCTCTCACCAGCCCTACCCCATTTTGTCCTTGACTGCCATAGGTTCCTTTCTTCTGTGATTTTATAATATGTCGTGTACACCTGGAGGCAGCAATGGTGTTTTGTTTATTTCTGTAGCCCTTGGTCCTAAAGGATTGGCTGGCTGGTAGTAGGCACCCAGTAATGTTTGCTGCTCATGTGACAAGGCATTTTGGCATTTACTGCTCCACAGTCAGAGGTCCTCCAGTTGGAAATGGTGTGGAGGAGTGACATGACTGTGGTCATTAAGGTCACACCAGTTTTTCTCCATTCCTGACCTTCAACAAATGACTTTTCTTCTCTGATCCTGGAGTCTTCTGTTGTTTGGAGTAATAATATCTGCTTCTTGAGATTTAAGATCTTTTGGGGATTTTACTGAGGCAGGTTAGCCTGTGACAAGGAGAACTGCTTTTGAAGCTGACTGCTTGGGTTCACTCTGGTTCTACTGCTAACTTGCCATGGAATCTTGCAGAAGTTACTTAACCTTTTTGTGCTTCAGTTTTCTCATTTTTAAACTAGTGATATGAGTAGTTTAAAACCCATAGAGTTAACATGAGGGGTCACTAGAGAAAACTTATGTAGTGCTTAAAACACTTCCTGACATATAGCAAATGCTCAATAAATATGAACACCATTCTGTACCTTCCATTCTCCCAAGCATGATCAATATGTCTTGTAGCTGTGGTGTCCACACATGGCTAACCTACACTGTTGGTAGCAGGGGGCCAGGGGGGCACGGGGAGTAGTTTGTTGCTGTTGTTTTGAGTTGGAGTCTCACTCGGTTGCCAAGGCTGGAATGTATTGGCACAATCATAGCTCACTGCAACTTTGAAGTTCTGGGCTCAAGTGATCCTCCTGCCTCGGCCTCCTGAGTAACTGTAGGCATGTGCCACTACACCCAGCTAGCTAAAAATTTTTTTGGTAGAGATAGGTGTCTCACTGTGTTGCCCAGGCTGGTCTTGAACTCCTGGCCTCAAGTGATCCTCCCACTTCAGCCTCCCAAAGTATTGGGATTATAGGCATAAGCCACCATATCTACCTAACCTACTGATTGTTATATGAACATAGACTTTCCAGTGTGGACTGACTGGTAGTTTTTATGATCTATACTGCTTGGTTCTGTTTTTGTTACGTATTTTAATTATTAAATATGTTGTTAATTTATTCATATATATTCAGTATAACTATTAAATATATATTAAGGCCAGGTGCAGTGGCTCACACCTGTAATCCTAGAACTTTGGGAGGCCAAGGTAGTCAGGAGTTCAAGACCAGACTGGCCAAGATGGTGAAACCCCGTCTCTATTAAAAATACAAAAATTACCTATGTGTGGTGGTGGGCATCTGTAATCCCAGCTACCCAGGAGGCTGAGGCAGAGAATTGCTTGAAACAGGGAGGGAGAAGTTGCAGTAAGCCAAGATCGCACCATTGCACTCCAGCCTGGACAACAGAGCAAGACACTATCTCTAAATAAATAAATAAACAAATACAGACTAACACAGGTAGTGAACATAGTTTTCAGATACAACTAACACAGGTAGTGAACATTTTTAATTTTATTTTGTTTTAAGATGGGGTTTCACCATATTGGCCAGGCTGGTCTCGAACTCCTGACCTAAGGTGATCCACTCACCTCAGCCTCCCAAAGTGCTAGGATTACAGGCACGAGCCACCACGCCCAGCCAACATTTATTATATGTCAAGGACTGTGCTAGGCAATTTAAGAACATAATTTTTTTAAATCTTAATAAAACATTCATGAGGAAGATTATTACCCCCATTTTATAGTTAGGGAAATTGAGGTTCAGTGAAGTTAAAAATTTGCCTGTTTATATTTGAAAAAGAAAAAAAAAGAACAGAACTATACCTTACAAAAAATAAATTCATGGCAGTTTCAAAGTTCAGATATAATTCAGACTATAAAAGCATTAGAATGCAGCATTGTTTATAAAGATGTGAGCAACCTAAATGTCATTCAAAGGAGAGTAACTAAACATGGTTTAGATAAACTATGAAATTTTGTGCATAGTATGAAAAACTGAGGTAGTTCTGTGTGTACTAATGTTGGACCATATCCAAAATATATTGTTGCCAGAAAAACAAAACAAAATGGCTAAAGATACATCTAGTATGAAACCTCTTGTATTTTTTAAGTCCATATACAACCATACTACATTTTTCTCCTTCTAGGTTCATAGATATACATGAAAAAATATTTGAAAGAGTGTATTTAACAGTAATTACCACTAGAGAGGTGGAAGAAGGCAATGAAATTGAAAAGGTGTCAAATAGGCCTTTAACAATATTGGTAACTAATTTTACAAGGAGAATATAGTTTAAAAATTAATTTTAGAAAGAAAGCATATTAAAAGTTGCACATAAAAATAGTCAGAGTTTAAAACTAGGTAGTCTAGCAAAACTAATAAGCCAAAACAGTGGCTCATGCCTGTAATCCCAGCACTTTGGGAGGCTGATACAGGAGGATCACTTGAGGCCAGGAGTTTGAGACCAGTCTGGGCAACATAGTGAGACCCTGTCTCTACAAAAAATCTTTTTAAAAAGCCTAACCAACAGATAACAAGTTACTATGTTGCCTTTCATATTATCCTTTTAGATTATGAAAAAAATATTTTTAAAGGAAGCTATATGTTTAGGTTGCTTCTAAGCCTGGCAGTCATTCAGAAATTAAGGTTCTTGATCAGTTATGTATTCTTTTGTCTCTATCCTAAATTTGAACTCTTAGCCTCCTAAAGTAAATGTCAACCTACTTAGTTCACTTTTCTGCCTTGTCAGCATATCATTGTCTCATGTTCTACATTTATAACAGAAAGGTTATTAAACCTATTAACTCTGAACAGTTTCTGCTTTTATTGTCAATGAATTTTTTTTTTCTATATCATTCTCTTGGCCTAAGCTGGTGTTTCGTTTCTTAAACTTATTACTGCAGAAGGCTGAATATTGAGTGCTATGCTAATTGGAAGTGCATCTAGTACCTTTTAGGTTTGGATTTCTAACTTTATATATAGTTAGAAGCCTGACCCCTCCATAAGCTGTTATATTATCTGAATCACTTTAACTTGGAATGTTCAAAAATGATACCTTAAATACGATAAATCAGAAGTTTCCTGGTAAACATGGTATTGTGACAGCAGCTTTCAGCCCCCTTGTTGTATCCTTTAGCATGTAATATTTTGAATATATATTCATGACACAAGCATGGCTTGATGGCCGGGCACAGTGGCTCACATCTGTCATTTCAGCGCTTTGTGAGGCTGAGGTGGGTGGATCACTTGAGGTCAGGAGTTTGAGAGCAGCTTGACCAATATGGCGAAACCCCGTCTCCACCAAAAATACAAAATTAGCTGGACGTGGTGGTGTGCGCCTGTAATCCCAGCTACTTGGGAGGCTGAGGCAGGAGAATCACGGGAACCAGGGAGGTGGAGGTTGCAGTGAGCCCAGATCATGCCACTGCACTCCAGCCTGGGCAACAAAAGTGAAACTCTGTCTTAAAAAAAATGGCTTGTATAGTTGACATGGAGGGAATCAGGCATGACTTGGAGATCAGGCCACTGTATGTTTCTGGTGGTTTGTTACAACTCAGGGACTTTTTGGAGAATATGCTTAACAACGGTCGATGACATTGGATATCTTTTCTAGGTTGATTTGAAGTCTTCATATCATTTCTGACCTTTGCTTTTCACGTGGGCCTCTTTATGTCATAAGGGAGGTAAGAGTAATAGTAGCGCCTTTTTCTTGCTTAATGATCAAAATACTTTAACATGGTAATCAAGATGGACCTGCTTTATATTAAATTTCTTTCTGTACCTCATAGCACCTTGGAGAAGTTTCACTGGACTTTTCAAAAAAGAGAAATGATTCCAAGGGCACTATTCCGGGGCTTTAGTCCAGCTTGTGATTTTGGAGCGGATCATTGGCAGTGCTCTGCAGAGTTGGCTTTAAAAGACTTCAGCAGAACTTCCCAGAAATGAGGAACAAAGAAATGTTGTAGTCAGCCTTCTAGACTTTCTTTTTGAAAACAGTATGGTAACACTTATTAGTGATGCCTAATAATGCTTAAAATTAATAACAACTGGAATAATTTAGAAATTATAAGACATTTCTTAGGCCTTCCACATTTCAAGATAAAGCGCATGCATCTGCATTAGACCAACTCTTTTGCTTAAACACTTGGCTGAGTTTATTAAGGGACTTTCTCAGTCCTTTTGGCTCTGATTGTTGCACTAAGTTTCTTAAATATTACATGCTCATTAGTGCGTGTAAGTACGTGCTTTTCACCTCAGAATACTCATGATCTTTACGTCATCTTTCTGCTCAGCTGCTCTTTCATCTGGATCCTGGAATGTTGCAGGGTTAACACAGTGTGTTGGCTTTGCTTGCAGTCATCAGCGCATTCACATGGTGTTTCCAAGCACTCACAGAGCTTTTGCCATGGAAGGTGGTAATTTGGAAAACTGCTCTTTCACTCTCACATTGCTATGCCACGTGTATCTGTACAGCTTCCCATTGTGAGAGCCTCATTCAGGTGTGGCCCTGGCCTGGCTCTGTGGACTGCGGGATCTAGAGCAGAACTGTAGCTAACTGGGCAGTTACCCCAGGTGGCTGGAATCGGCCATTTCTGAAAGGCAGATTGAGTAGCATTGTCAGACCTAAGGGAGAAGTGTGGGGCTAAAAAGTGAAAGATCAAACTAGATGAAGCCAGATGAGCATAGGAATGGTGTAGGAAGCAAGGCCTTGTGTCGGGACAGGGGACTGCCAGCCCAGGGCTCTTTGTAAAAAAACTTTTTGTGGGGGTGCTTGCTATTTGGTATACGTACTGGCTGAGTCAAAACAAAACAAAACCAAAACCAAGATTTAGTTACACCTGAGTGGATAAGTGGATAATCCAAATTGCCAGAATGACTACCTGCAGGCTCCCAGGTGAGCTGAATGCCACCTTGAAGCATGCTTGCATTTGCCTTACAGAAAGGTGGAGTGTGTGAGCCCAGCGGGTACGCAGAGTTCAAGTCTAATTGTTTTGTGGTCTCACTGTCGAATGATGGGCTTAACAACACATCTGTATATTGGAGTTTTATCACTGATAATTTGCTGTTTCCATAGTCTAAATTTGGTGAGTTAGTATTCCAAAACACTTTCAAACCAGAGCAACTGAACTCTAGTTTCTAATTTAAAAACAGTTACGTGATGTTTTCAGTTTAGATCATAAAATATCAGAACTGAAAGGGAGCTTTACTTCACCTCTTTTGACACCCTTCTATAGCAGACTCTTTATTCATTTATTTCTTTTGTTGTTGTTTATTCTTTTGAGCATCTACTGTGTGACATACACTACTCTTAACAACAGGATATTCTGAAAAGAGAAAAGCATATTAAACAAAAGTCTCCCATAAGAAGCAGTTTGATAGATTTTTATCCTGTTGTGATCTGTCTGTCTGTGTACTTACAAACACTGAGCTTTCTTCATCATTCGCTCGCCACCTAGGCTGGAGTGCAGTGGCACGATCTCGGCTCACTGCACCTCCACCTCCCAGGTTCAAGCAGTTCTTGTACCTCAGCCTCCCAGGTAGCTGGGACCACAGGTGTGCATTACCACACGCAGCTAATTGTTGTATTTTTAGTAGAGACAGGGTTTCACAGCATGTTGGTCAGGCTGGTCTGGAACTCCTGACCTCAAGTGATTTGCCCACCCCAGCCTCCCAAAGTGCTGGGATTACAGGTATCAACCACTGCGCCCAGCCTTTGTTGTTTGGAACTTTGGCTTTGGTGATTGTATGGTATCAGGAACAGATAAGAATCTCATTGAAGAGTTATTTTTGCTCTTCATTAGGTCCTAGAGATTTAAGAAAGGTGAATGTAAGACGCTTATCTTGGCTTGCTGTCCCTGAAGAGGGAATTTTCTTTTCTTCTAGAATCATAGGTCCTAAGTGGATTGCATATCCTTGATGAAGCCATGTTATAGAGCTTTTATGGAAATGCAAATAGATGCATACTCAATTTTGCTGGTGTTTATTTTTTACTTAACTAGGATAATTTAATCTTGCCTTGATTCTTCCACTTTTTCACATAGTAATTGTGTTTGATTACATTTGATCAAAACAATTTACTTCTTTTCATTTCCTTGGAAGAAAAATTAAGTTATTTTTATCAATTTAAAACAAATCAGGAAATTCTAAAGTGAAAAATTTCTTCTTCCATGAATTTTATATTTGCAGCAATTTATTCTTTTCTTTAACAAAAGAGCTTTTATGAAACTGCTAATAATTGTAACTTGGTTCAGTATTACATATTTCTTCAAATGTGGCTGCTTTCCAAATACCACAAATAGTTCATTTTTATCTTTAAGAGATGTTTTAAATGGAATCATTGGTTAATTCCGAAAGTAATGCAAGCAGAATTTGTAATATTCTAAACTATGACTCTTTAAAACTTGCTAATTTTTTTTTAAATCATAGTTACCCCTTTTCTCATAGTTTAGAACTTGGCAATAGAAAGAAAACTGCAGGAATTTATTTCAACTGAATTTGAAACCGTGGTTTAAACTTTAGCTCTTTAACCAAACAGGCAATAGCATATGTAACAGTCCAGCATGCATATTTTGCTTTCTGTGTCTTGAAAGTTTCCTGCCTCACTTTCTCTTTGGTCTACTGGATATTTTTATTCAGCAGATAAATTCCAAATATCCTAGAATATTCTATATGGGACTTATTTAATCTTTGACATTGTATCCTTGCTATTTTCCATGCCAGAGCATTTTGGCATTTGGTTCACTTCTACCCCCAGTTATGTTAGCTTAGCATAGAGTGCTTCTGAGAATTGCTGAAGAGGGGTGGGTCTTGGCAACGATAAAACCCAGTGGGATAAGACTGTGTTAAATTGTGAATGTTATATGCGTAACCAGGGGATTGGAGGGGTTCAGTACTAACCATTGAACAACAAGTGTTCATAAGTAACTGAAAGAATGTAATTGAAAGAGAAGGGCGAAAGAGGATTATGGAGAAAGATGAAAAGGAAAGGACATATATTTGTTCAAGTAAATGAGAGGAGAATCTGCTGCATGGACGAAGCCTTAGTCCTGCCTCAGAATGTTGACTGCTACCATGAGATACAATTCCTACTTTCCCTACTTTGTGGCATTTTTTTCTTTTCGGCACCTCCCCCAACTTTTTAAAAACTAATTTGCTCCTTCCTGGGCTTTGCCCTGCAGCCCTCTCCACAATAGACGATTGTCCTCTATAGAGGCAGTCCTGCCACCAAGGCTCTTAGCCTTTCTGGCTGCTCTGCCTGCCACTCGCCAAGTGAGGACACAGGGTCTTTCTCTGGGGCGTGCTTTATTTAGTATGTGCTCAGCCGACCTACGCTGGCTCTTCTAATACATATTAATGCTTTTTTCTTCCTGACTTATGAGGACATGATCGTTTGATCATTTCTTGTTTTGAATGTTCTTTTTGTGCTGCAGAGAAAGAGATGACTTGATGTCTGCACTAGTTTCTGTAAGGAGCAGCTTGGCAGAAACGCAGCAAAGGGAAGCAAGTGCTTATGAACAGGTGAAACAAGTTTGGCAAATATCTGAGGAAGCCAATTTTGAAAAAACCAAGGCAAGTCTAAGAAGATGCAAATAAAGGCATCTTTCTTTTCTTTTTTTTCTGAGTATTTGTTTGGTTATTCTTCTATAACTAAACTGTTTTTCAAACACACAAAGTGAATTATCAGTCTGTTAATGTTGACTTCTGAATTAAACAAATTTGCTATTTGGAGAATTCTTATTCCTCTGCAAATGCTCTTGTTATATCACTGTTCAGAGAATGTAGTACAGCATGACACTTTGAGAGACCGATATGCTCAATCTTTTCATTTGCTGGTAATTTGCAGTGCTGCAAAAATCTCAACACCCAGGCATTAGTTTGTATATGTTCATATGTGACTAAAGACAGATGTTTTTCCTCAATAACTGGGAAGTTTTGAGAAAATTCAAATACCAAAGAAATAATATATACATATTTAGTAGCATCTTTTTTTTTTTTTTTTTTTTTTTTTGAGATGGAGTCTCACTCTGTTGCCAGGCTAGAGTGCAATGGTATGATCTTGGCTCACTGCTACTTCCACCTCCCAGGTTCAAGTGATTCTCCTATCTCAGCCTCCCGAGTAGATGGGATTACAGACACATGCCATCACACCCAGCTGATTTTTGTATTTTTAGTAGAGACAGGGTTTCACCATGTTGGTCAGGCTAGTCTCGAACTCCTGACCTCAGGTGATCTGCCCGCCTTGGCCTTCCAGAGTGCTGGGATTATAGGCGTGAACCACCACTCCTGGCCTTAGTAGCATCTTTGAGTCTGGACTTATTGTAAGGTAACTAAAACATACTTAATGAGAATAACAGTTTTTACTTAGTGATCAGACAGTGTTATAGGCACTTGGAATAACAGGGGGTTTCTGTGGATTCATTACTATATTTGGGGTCGCATCTTAACCGTTAAAGTTGCATGTATTTTCCCTATACATGCTAGCATACAATTCAAGTGCTTATGGCCACATTTAGCTAAAATTGGACATTGCAGATATAGGACATTTTCATTATGAAAAGTTTTGTTGTATAGCGCTGATCTAAACCATGTACTAATCTCAGTGTTTTATTAAGATATTAGGGCTACATTACTGGGTATATACACAGAGGAATATAAATCATTCAGCCACGAAGACACACGCATGTGAATGTTCATTGGAGCATTCTTTACAATAGCAAACCTAAAAGATAGAATTGACGGAATCAACCTAAATTGATGGAATCAATCTAAATGTCCATCACTGACAGATCGAATAAAGAAATGTGGTACACAAACACCATAGAATACTATGCAGCCATAAAACGAGCAACATCATGTCTTTTGCAGAAACATGCATGGAGCTGGAGGCAACTATCCTTAGCAAACTAATGCAGGAACAGAAAGCCAAATACTACATCTTCTTACTTATAAGTGGGAGCTAAAATTTAAGAACTTAGGAGGACAAAGAAGGAAACAACAGACAGTGGCATCTACTTGAGGATGGAGAGTGGGAGGAGGGAGAGGAGCAGAAGGATAACTCTTGGGTACTGGGCTTAGTACCTGAAATAATCTATACAACAACCCCCGTGACATCAGCTTACCTGTGTAACAAACCTTCTCAGGTGCCCTGAACCTAAAATAAAAGTTCAACAAATGTTAGGGCTGTTCAATTCTGGGTTAAGCCTCTTGTCAGCCATTGCTATATCCATTTGTCTTTATCCATAACTCTTCCCACTTGACCCTCTTGCCTTCTGAGACTTAGGTTCAGTTATGACCAAGCTCCCCAACATACTGTTTCCTCAAACTGTTCTTCTGTTTCTTCAGTGGTTCTGAGCTCTAGCTGGACTTCGATACCATTCCTTTTAAAACCACCAGCGAGTGAATGCCCTTTTGCCAGTCATTTCATCTCATGTGGATGTAATGGGGGAAAGAGCAGTGCTTCACTCCTCACTGCCATTTCCAGGGCTGGGTACGGCGCTTACTTTCAGGTGCTATTCCTCTTTGAAATTAGGTTACCACTCTGTGTTGATCTATTTTTCCTTGATATAAATAAATCGCTGAAGGCAGGATGTGGTGGCTCATGCCTGTAATCCCAGCATTTTGGGAGGCTGAGGTGGGCTGATCCTGAAGTCAGGAGTTTAAGACCAGCCTGACCAATATGGTGAAACCCTGTCTGTACTAGAAAAAATACAAAAATTAGCTGGGCATGGTGGCAGGTGCTTATAGTCCCAGCTACTAGGGAGACTGAGGCAGGAGAATTGCTTCAACCCGGGAGGTGGAGGTTGCAGTTAGCCAAGATTGCACCACTGCACTCCAGCCTGGGAGACAGAGTGAGACTCCATTCCCCCCACAAAAAAGAAAATAGCTGAGACTGTGTAATTTATAAAGAGAAGTAAGTGGTTTATTTGGGCTCATGTTGTGCAGGCTGCCTATGAAGCATGGTGCCAACATATGCTTCTGGTAAGTCCTCAGGAAGCTTTCACCTTGACAGGAGGCAGAGGAGAGCAAGCATCCAAGGGAGCAGGACTGAGAGAGGAGGAGAGGTGCCAGGCTCTTTCTAACAGTCGGATCTCAGGAAAACAAACAGGGCACCAAGCCAGTCACAAGGGATTCACTCTCATGACCCAAACACCTCCCATCAGGCCCCACCTCCAACATTGGGAGTCACATTTCAGCATGAGAGATTTGGAGAGGACAGGTATCTAAACCATAGCACACTCCTCTTTGAAATCAGTGTTGTCTTTCTTCTTCCTAATTGATAAAATCTCTAATTTGAGAAGACGCTCTTTGGTCCTTTCTGTTTTATTTTATTTTTATTTATTTATTTTTTTGAGACAGAATTTCACTCTTGTTGCCCAGGCTGGGGTGCAGTGGCACAATTTCAGCTCACTGTGACCTCTGCCTCCCGGGTTCAAGTGATTCTCCTGCTCCAGCCTCCTAAAGGGCTGGGATTACAGGCCTGCACCATCATGCCTGGCTAATTTTGTATTTTTTAGTAGAGACAGGGGTTTCACCACGTTGGCCAGGCTGGTCTCGAACTCCTGACCTCAGGCGATGCACCCACCTCGGCCTCCCAAAGTGCTGGGATTACAGGCATGAGCCACCTTGTCTGGCCCCTTTTTAAAAGTTTTAACATCTGATCCTTTTCCTCTTCAACATCTGATCCTTTTCCTATTCATTCTATCTCTTTCGTCATCCTTAAATGTTTGAATTTCCATGTTGTTGATACACACAACAGTAATACTCTTCAGCTTCCTTAACTCTACTATACTCCCCCTACTTCTGTGCTAACTCCCACATAAACTGAAGTGCCCTTAAGATCTCAAACTCTGAACCCACACTCTGACTAGAGCCTTTTCTCTTCCTTTCTCCCTCTCAAAGTTAAATCTACTCCATGTCTTTGTTTCACCTCTAGTTCTTCAGCGTTCTTTTTTATCTCTTGATTTTACCTGTTGTGTCCAGGCTGGTTTTCTTTTGTTCCCATTTACATATGAATTTTACATTCTCAAATTGAACTCACATATTCACTCCCTGATCTGCTGCCCCTTCTTTGTTCTCTAGCTTACAGGATGGCACTTTTTTTTTTTTTTTTTTTGAGACAGAGTCTCTTTGTCATCCAGGCTGGGGTGCAGTGGCGCAATCTTGGCTTACTGCAATCTCCACCTCCTAGATTCAAGTGATACTGCTCCCTCAGCCTCCCGAGTATCTGGGATTACAGGCCCATGCCACCATGCCCAGCTAATTTTTTTGTATTTTTAGTAGAGACAGGGTTTCACCATGTTGGCCAGGATGGTCTCCATCTCCTGACCTTGTGATCCACCCGCCTCGGCCTCCCAAAGTGCTACAATTACAGATGTGAGCCACCGCCCAGCCTGGCTGGCACTTTTATTCACTAATACGCTCTGATCGGAAAACTGGATTTCACACTGTCCTTCACCCCTGACTTTTAACCAGTCACTAAGTACAGATCTGAGTTTCTAATGTTTTCTTAAATTCTTTCACTCAGAACTTTTCTTATGGAAGCTGTGATCGCTGGATTTATCTATTCCATTTCTTCCTAGCTTGTCTCCCCTCCTTCCTTACATTCCCTACACTGCAGCCAGAAGCAATCTTTTTTTTTTTTTTTTGAGACGGAGTTTTGCTCTTGTTACCCAGGCTGGAGTGCAATGGCGCCATCTCGGCTCACTGCAACCTCTGCCTCCTGGGTTCAGGCAATTCTCCTGCCTCAGCCTCCTGAGTAGCTGGGATTACAGGCACGCGCCACCATGCCCAGCTAATTTTTTGTATTTTTAGTAGAGACGGGGTTTCACCGTGTTGACCAGGATGGTCTCAATCTCTTGACCTCGTGATCCACCTGCCTCGGCCTCCCAAAGTGCTGGGATTACAGGCATGAGCCACCGCGCCCGGCCAGAAGCGATCTTTTTTAAAGATACAGTTGATCACGTGACTCTGGTTTACAATCCTTCAGTGAATTTTCACTGACTTCGGGACAACCTCCACATTGTTTGCCGTGCCAATGATGTCTGTCAGAATGTGGCTCCCTTTTGTCCTCCAGGGCTGCTGCTGCTTTTCTCCTCTCACACCCTATGCCCCAGTACACTCAGCTGTTATCAAAGGCAGGAGACCTTAGGGAATGAACATGGGCTTACTAGCGTTAGCCAGACCAAGATTCAACTTCCGGCTCCACCATTCACTGGCTGTGTGACCTTGGACAGGTTATTTTAACCTCTCTGTGCCTCGGTGTTTCCTCATCTGTAAATTGGAGAAATATGTGACTCAGAGGATTGTTAATGAGGCCAATGCATATTGGTTATCTTATACAAACCCTGGCACAAAATATTTTCTCAATAAATAACGATAGTGGTGATAACCCTACTGATTACGATTACCCTATACTCTTTCCAGCCTCCGAGTCCTGGTACATACCATGCACATTCTTCTTCATTCCACTGCCTGGATATTTTCTCTAGCCTTGCATATCTTAGCTTACATGGTACTCCCTCTAGGAAACCTCTGACCTCTCATGTCTAGATTTCATGTACTCCTTATAT